GCTCGTCCGCCCGCAGCACCGCAGCCGGAACCGCCGCCGCTGCCCGCGACAACCGCCCAGCCGCGCAGCCCGCCGGGAAGCCTAGGCCCGCCCTCACTGCTCAAAACTGCAATTCCCAATAGGCCCCGCGGCGCGGCGCCTCCGACGACCCGTAGCGGAACTCGTAGCGCAGAGCATGTCGGGAATTCCGGCCCGACTCCGACGTGACCCATTACAGCAGCTGTGACAACGTAGATGCAGCATGCCAGGCACTCCCTTGATCCTGAATCGAACGGCTCCAAGATTCAAACCCCTCTCAGCACTACTCATGTATGCGAGGGCTGCCCGCCCCCCCATACCCCGGCCCTTCTGTTCACGCCTGCGCAGTATGCCTAACACCCTTCTGGTCTCTGGTGCCTTGTCAACAGAGCAGCAGACAAGATATCCCACACAGGCCTGGGGCAAGGGACCAACTTGAAGACAGGGATTTCAGGGCCAGCAGTATCTGCACCTTTATGTACACTACAGCATGGGCTGGGCAGAGTGCCTGGTCCCAGGGACACCACTGTTAACACTCTACAAAACCCAGAGGAAGTAAGGGGTAAGTGCAAGTCCAGGCAATGAGGCCAAAGTCACGCAGAGAGGTCGCTGTTATCAAAACGCTCCTGGTCATACACTTCAGCCACCACCTTACGGCCAGCAAACCAGCGCCCATTCAGGGCCTGGATGGCCTTGTGAGTCTCTGAGGCCATGGAAAATTCCACAAAAATCTTGACGATGATCTCTGCATCCTCTTCCTCGCCCTGCTTTTCTTGGTAGATAATGACTCGGTTCACAGCACCAAATTTGCCACACTCTTCTGTCACCTCTCCCTCCAGGTCGTCGTCGATGTCCTTGGGGTCTACCATGTTGCGTAAAACCATGACTGTGGACTGTGAGAAAGGAGACTGAATGCCGTGGCCTGTCAAGCACACTCTACCCCCTCTCCCTGAGAGGCACCGGCACCGGCCCACCTACCTCCTGTTTTCTGAGCAGCTTCTGCATGACCATGTGCCGAGCACTGCTGCCTGAGATGCTCATGTGCTCCTGCTCACTCAGCATCTCTGGCCGCTCTGACTCAGGAAACAGCTCCTCCTCTTCCTTCTCCTTCTTGGGTTCCAACAGACCCAGTGTTGGCGGGCTGGCTAGGATGGGGTTCACCACTCCCACAGAGGGGATGGTGACAGGAATGGGAGGGCGGGCTGGGGTAACACCTGCAGCAAAACCAAGTTCAACAGTCACACATACACCCTCCCTGAGGAGCAGAGAGCTGGTTGGCTATGGCCAGCCTGCCCTGGGTTCAAGTCTTACACTGAAGTAAGTATGGGCTGGGGAGCTGAAGACAGAGCCTCGAGGTGAGGGGTAAAGAACGGTGGAGAGCCTGACCCACTCACACTCACCTGTGATGACTCCAGGGGCCTGGGCAGCCATGACAGCCTGGGGTAGAGCGCCTAAGGGCTGGGCCAGGGTCAGCGCTGGGGACACTAGTCCTGGTGTAGCTAAAGTACCCAGCACTGCTGCTCCAGCCACTGCTTCCTGCAACCAAAAGGCAACCACAGTCAGTTTCTAGTCTGGCTATCTCCACCCCCGAAGGATCAATGGGCCTGTCCACCCACTCACTGTCCACCCACTCACTGTCCACCCACGCCACTGCACCAGTTCGTACCTGAGCTGTAATCTTGGCTGTGGCTGCAGCTGCGGCTACAGCGGCAGCAGGCGGGAGACCTCCAGGCGTGGCAGGTGTTAGCAGGGGCATGGGGGGTGTGACGGCCTTGCCCACCCTCAAGTACTGGCCACCCAGATCAAAGAGGTTCATGGACGATACAGCATCCTGGGACGACTGGGCCTTCTCATATTCTGCAGGGCAGGATGAGCAGTGAGGAAGGCCGGCCCCAGTACCAGGGGGGCTCCCTCTTCTCCTTGGCTTTCCCCAAACTTACCAATAAAACCATAGCCTTTGTGCTTGCCGGTTGTGGGGTCCCGGGCCAGCGTACAAGACTTGATCTTGCCAAAGGCTTCAAACACACTCTTGATGTCATCATCGGAGAGGTCCTGATGTACAGAGGCCACGTAGATGCGGTTGAAAGCCCTAGCCTCCTCAGCCAGCTGGTCTATGATGGGCTGGGCCTGTCCTATGTTGCTGGGTCTGCCCACCTGAAAAGAGGTCAAGAACAAAGTCTACCATCAGCCTAGGCCTGTGGTGACTGCTTGTATGTATGTGAGTACACAAAGCACTCCCTGCATTCTCAGCTACAGGTCCAAGACCACACTCTCTTATTGTTACCTTAATGTTCCTGCCCCCAAGCATCACTGAGTTCATCTGCTCCAAAGCAAGCTGTGCAGCTTCTGGGACTTCATACTCCACGAAGGCAAAGCCCTAAAACACAGAGAGATGCTGTCAGGCCAGGAAAGCAGATAGGGGGGCAGGCTAGGGCACTGGGGTACCTCCTTACCTTGTGCTTCATGGTAACAGAATCCCAGGACATATCAATGCTCTTGATGGGGCCAAAGGGAGCAAAGGCCTGACGAATGGTGTCTTCCCCCAGCTCGTAGTAGATGGAACCCACATAGACTCGGCACATGATAGCCAGTGCCCGCTGACGCTGAGCTGCCATCTGCAGCAGGACAGAAGGAGAGAGCCACTGGCTTGTCAGGAAGGCAGGAGACTCAGCAGCCCTCTCCCGTCCTGGCCCACCCACCCAACTCTGCTGTGGGAAGGGCTCCCCACGCAGCAGTCAAGTGCAGGCTGGGCCCTTGCAGCCAGGGCTTAGGGGTCAGCAGGACCCCACCCCAAGTAAGGCCAGGCCCAACAGCAGGACATGGAAGTACCCAGCCCACCCAGGTCCCAGACAGACTGTGGCAGCAGAGCTGACAGGCGGTCAGAAGCTAAGGCTGAATGCCCTGTAACTCAGCCCACTTCTCCAGTCTGGGGGCCAGGTACCTGGGCTAGGCTGGGAGATCCTCCCACTAGTCCAGCCAAGTATTGGGACAGAAGAGGGAAGGAGGAGCTGTCCAAGCCAGAGACACCTACTGGCATGGAGGCCAGAAGAGAGGGTGGCAGAAGACAGGGCAGCCATTGCCCAGAAGAGATCCCAGGGAAGGAATTTGGGAGCCCAGACAGGGGCTCTCTGGAGAGAACAAGGAGCAAGCTGCTCATGCAGGGAACCATAGGTGAGGACTCAGTGTGCTCTACACTCTCCCATCCCAACACCTCCCACAAAAAAAGAGCTGCTTGGAGCACATGACTGTAGCCATAAGAGCTGGCCCAGGTAAGAGCATCACAAGGCAGCAGAGAACCCAATGAAGAAGCCTCAGGGATCCTTGGGACAGGGAAGCTGGCAGGACTAGCAGTGAGCTGGGCCACTGCAATGAAGGACCTCCCCATGCCCTGGGAAAGGCTCCTTCCAACACTTTATAGACATGCCAGGCAGGGGGCTCTAGAGCCACAGGGAGGGCCCCATGTGCCAGGCAGGGCCTTATCCTTAACACAGACATGGGCTCCTCTCACCCTAACAAAGGTCCCAGTGGCAAGAGACCAGTTGACTTCTTCAGACATTAGCAGGCCTAGAATAGCCCAGTCTCCCTAAGAGAGAGGACTAAAAGGTCCACCAACACAGGACTCACCCAGGTGGGGCCTATCTTTCCTCACATTAGGAGCTCCCTGAATTGGAGGTCATTCCCTCAAACTGGCTCCTGATAAGCCTCAGGCTCTTGCCCAGGTGAAGGGCCTCAAGGATAGAGCCACCCTTTCTCTAAGCCCCACACAGACATGAAGCCACATCTGTCCTTCAGGTCACAGTTGACAAGAGAGTATTAAGTCTCCCCTTCAAGGTGAGACTACTCAACTACAGGTCTCTCTGCCCACATCTCCCGGGACTCCTCAGAGGGTCAACAGCTCCCTTTCAGACAGGTGTTTCCCAGAGTAGACAGAGTATGTCTCAAATGTGAGGGCAACTCATCCAGGGATGGCCCTCCAAGTGGATGGATACCCCAGAGAAAGGGCCATGTCTTTCCCATAGGATCTCCCCAGGATAGGGCCTGGCCACTTCAACTTGCCTCTGGGCAAGGAAGAGCCATCTCCTTCCCAGACTCCTCTGCTTACTGCAGTCATGGCCACATGACCTCTACCCCTTGCTGAGAGCTAGGTCTGTGACCCAAGTTGTTATTTGCCCTTCCCTCTCTTGCTCACTCAGGCCCCCAGCCCCCACCCCATCCATCCATCCTCCCTCCAGAGTATGATGGGGCCACAGTTAGGACCCCTCTCTTATCAGGGGGCCTGACCCCAACCCAAGAGCCCGGGCAGCCTGGAGACTGTCGGAGCTGGAGGCCCACAGGTACATCCCCCACATGGGGTGGCAAGGCACAGATGAGCCTGGCATTGGCAGCTACCCTCCCTGGCTGGCTGCCGCGGCTGCCCTCCGCAGTTACCTGGCCGGTTAGTTTTAAGGTGGACCCTCAGAGCAGATGGAGGCCTCCCCAGGGGCGGTCCCGGGGTGAGTGCCCACACCACTGGCCCCACCATGCCTGGCGCTCTGCTGTGCTCGTCCAGAGCTGGCGGGCAGGGCCGGCCAGGGGAGCAAGGTCCCCAGCAGTGGGCTGCACTGCCCCCCTCTAGCCCTGACTAAGGACATGAGCCCCAGAAGAAGTGAGCATTTCTATTGACCGATTGCAAAGGTGAGAGAGGATCTCCAAAGCCCATTGTCACTGCTGCCATCTGAAAGACAGTAAAGACAGAGTTCAGTCTGTTGGAGCCGAGCAGTCTCCCGCTCTCGTCAACACCTCACGCGGACAGCAGCAAGGCGCGGAGTCCCCGCCCTGCCAGGGAGGCCCGCCTGCCTTCCCACACTGCTGGCCACTCTGGCTGGTCACTGGCACCTGCCCAGGGGGGCTTCAGAGCCCCAGGTGCCCCGCCCACAGCCTTTGCAGCAAGACCGGCGAGGGCAGAAGGAAGGGAGGAGAGGGATGGACAGAGCACAGTGAACAGCCAGTATGAACGTCTAAGGGCTGGACCTGGGGATGGGGAAGGCTCAAGGCCCAGGAACCTGTCAGCTTCACTCAGGCTTCTTCCCACAGATATCACAGCCTCCAGCCTAGAGTAGGGCCCAGTGGAGCATACCCTTAAACTGCCCCTTCGGCCGAGGGCCTCGGGGATAAAGGCCTGACCACAGGGGCAGGGAGGATCACAACCTACATGCTGCCACCATGGCTGTGCACAGCCTGGGTGTGGTAGAGACCCAGAGGCACCAGTGGTTAGACCAAGAAGGAGAACTGGGCGGAGCTACAGAGAAGGAGTGGGGAGGGGGTGGAGAAGGGCCTTATCAAGCAACAGGAGGAAAGGCCAGGCCACTCATGCCTCAGAGAGGACCCTGGTGGTCCAGAGAATGAATCTTGAGAGTCTGAGAGTGATAACACCTTCTGGGGGCAGTCGGCCACAGGCACAGGAGGAGGCAGAGAAGAGGAGGAGACGGTGGAGGTAATGGGGAGGGGCAGTGGAGGTTTCCTGGCCCAAGCTGGGCAGGAGGACCTCCAGCAGAGCCAGCCCCAAGATAGTGGCAGTGGCGTGCAGGAGGGTGGTGGGGCTCACCTGTAGGTTGGTGAGCTGCTGCTGCTGGTGCGCGATGGTCTGTTTCACTAGCACACTCTTGATGCTCTGCTCCATTGCGTATTTCTTGGCCTGCAAGAGATGGCAGTGAGGAGCACTGGGGAGCCCAGTCTGCAGGGGGGTGGCCTCCCTTACCAATCTTAGTTGAGCAGTTGTGCCCAAGAGGTGCACTCTCACCTTCTGGAGGGCCTCCTGCTGCTCGGGCGTCAGGGGAGGCAGCCCCAGCTTGGTGCCTGTGCTTTGCCCATTTTCCATCTTGATAGAATCTGCGCCCTGGAGTAGGAAACAGGGGAGTTGTTGAGCAGCAAACCCCAAATTTCTTATGTTCCAGAAACCCCACAGGCCCTCTATATCTCTAGACTCTTAAACCAAAGTAAAACAAGCCCCGGTACAAGCTACCTCCTGCCTGGTTAGGATGCAGGCCTTCCCTTCAGACACTGCTATCCCCATTTAGGTTCCCGTCACAGGCTTGACTCATGGGTAGGACATACTCAACCAGGCAGGTACCCTGTAGGGCCAGCAGTACAATGGCCTCCTCATGCAACTATCATAGGAGAGCAGTGTGCCTACTACCCCCTTGTTGACAATCTGACCCCAGAGTCTCTGTCCCAATAGCCAACCTCTGTTGTCCTCCAGAGCCAAGAGAGCAGAACCAGGATTGAAGATTCATCATTTACAGGCTACCTGGCACTCTAGCCTCTTGGTTCCCTCAACAGCCCTTTCGAGGGCCTCGGGCCACGCCGGAATAAGGCAAGGGCCTCCCTCCAATAATGCCCTTTGGGGCCCTCAAGACAGTCTTTCTACACAACTCCCCGAGAAGGTAAGTGTTTCTCCTTGGTTTATGAGCCCTCCAAGAGGCTCCATCCCATTTCGATTAACACTCCTGCATGGCATACATGTGTTCAGCACACCAAAAGCAAGGACCCTAGCCAAATGAATGTAAAACACATGGGACTGGCTAGGGAGGGCTTCACACTTGCTGCAGACATAATGAAATGCTACCAGAATTGTGTTTACATTATTATTCCTATCAATGCCATTTCCAAGTTGTTTGCAGGAAAGGGAAACAGCCATGTAAGCAGGGAAAGCCCAGTGTGTAAGGGACAGAGCCAGTCTACGTATCTAAGCAGTTCAAAATACCTCTGGTGAGACTTCTAGGCTTTCAGACACAGCCTTTGAGAGAAACAGCAGAGAAGGTGGCCCTCAGCATAGGAGTAACAGGCAAGGACTGAAGTACACAGGAGGCAGGTAGGGTC